CTTCCCGGGGGCCTCGGCCTCCCTGCGGCTGGGGAGGCGGTAAGGGAGCTGGGCGAGGGCTCCGGGCGGGAGGCAGCGGCCTGAGGAGATGCCCCCAGCCCGCCGCAGTCGCGCTGTTGCTGCGCCTGGGGGCATCCTTCGTGTTCGTAAGCCCCGCGTCCTTGGGTGGAGGTCAGGGGCTGTCAGTGAGTTGAAATGATTGTTTCTGATCGCCTCGTCCTTAAGAATTTAGAAATCATAGTGCTCAGTCTCCTACGCTTCTATCAGTGACTGACAGAAGAAAGTAATGATGAATTTTCTTTTATTTCCCGTTTGTTTTCTTAACTTGAATAAACTGGTCATTGAGCTGAATTAAAGTGTAAAAAATACTTTTCTTTACAATGGACTTGGCTGCAAATGCTTGACAAGTCACTTCCACAGTCTTTTACAACTTCCAGTATTTCATAAACTAGGCACTACGTATTTCAGGCACTACGTATTTAATTGTGGTTATAGGTATATTAGTACCTATAGTATATATACGACTTTGTTCTTCATTGCATATTGTATGCTCTTTAGAGTACCAGATTCCTAGTATTCCTGCTATTCTCTCTTTTCCTTGTCTTGCGTTACAAACATTTGCTTTCTTTTGAACAATCTCATCTTTCGTTCTGCCAGTATAAAATTTGTGTAAGAAAACCAAGAACAAGGTTTTTAAAATACAACAGATGCTTTCTGGTAACTTACCTGAAGGAAACTTGTTCACTGAAAGATACCGATCTTGCAGGTTTAAAAACTTGTGGAAATGGAACTATTCAGGTGAAGGCTGAAAATGTGAAATTAAAAAGGAAAAGTATGGTTATATTTTAGTTGATATATTTTAACATGGGAAGAGAAGAGATGCAAAATAATCCCTGTATAATCCTCCAGACTGTTCATGATTGCCTTTTTTTGAACTCTGCTTTGAAATTCTACATTCAAGAACTAACGCAATCATTGCAGTAGGTAAAACTTAGGAGATATGGCTGCTTTCTTGCTGTAACTTGGCAGTATATAATGACTGGGATTATTTTCCACAGTCCAAAATGCCAACTGTAAATTTATACTTTATGTAACTAAATATTACTAGCACATCTGAAACTTTGTAAATGACTAAGGGTCTGACTTTCATGGTCTGGCTCATAAAGCTGTAATGAAAAGTGTGTCCTCAATTTCCAAACCAAATGGATTTACACCCAGCTGATTAAGTGATTGCAGTTTTGTTTTGGTAGGGGAAGAAATCTGTGCTGACAGAAGAATAGATAAATTTACACCACTGAGTTATACTTTAATTTCTGAACAGCAGGCTTTATAGAATAAATTCCCTTTTGTGCAAATACGTGCAAGTCTTTAGTAGTGAGAATAGTCAAGAAAAACATGGTAGTGGTAACAGTACTGTGTGCCAGATTCATTAGATATCACTGTAAGTGACACAGCAAAAAAAAAAAAAAAAAAAAAAAAGCCTGTTGGAGAAGAAAAAAGAGTGCAAAGGGAAGAACTCTTCAGCTTGTAGGGAGAACATATACATAATTTAAAACTCTCAGAAATCTCAGGCTTGCATTAGGGTTTTTACTTGGCGTATTCTAATGGCAATAGAGCTCTTGAGTGACTTGGGATTCTTCTACGTTAAATCTAATATGGTGTTTCTCTTCTAGATGTGTCACTACAACAGCATGCTAGCAAAAAGACAGTTAAAAAAACCCATCAAATGGTTTGTTCAGAAAGCAAAATGCCAGAACAGTCCAAACCTGGAAAGAGTTAATCGAAGCATATAGTTATGGGAGTATCGATATACTTGTGGTATCTTAAATTGCAAGTTTTCACATTTTCAAATGCAAGGAAATAATTTCCTCACATGTGATCTCACTGAAGAGTGATCCACAGTAACTTTGAGGGGCGAAGCTGATTGTTTTGTGCTCATTTAATTCTGGACGTACTAGATGCTTCCCATGTGTTTTACTTTGCACCTGTATGCTATTTTGTTTGTGCATGGACAATGTTTCAATGTTCTCAAGGTTATTCTCACAAAATTTTCCCATGATTTTTGGGTTTTCTTCTACGATGCTTAGTTTTTTTTCAGAGCTATTCAAAAGACCTAGGATTACAAACTTTTAAAAGGTGCTGATTTTAGCCTTGCAAAATTTCATTTGTTAGTTAGGTACTCTAAATACTTTTTGAAGGTCTCAGCTTCGGCTGCCTGTAGTGCATCAACTCGTCTCACTCAAGTTAGTTGTCCACAATACATGTACATGCATATGATCTAATCATCTTAACTCTCTTTGTAGTCCGGAGGGGAAACAAGTGTTTCTGGGTCATGACTTACTTTATCACAAGGTAGGCGTACAAATCACTTGGCTTATTTTTGACATTAGAAATCTGTTTCTGCTCATTAATGATAAAGGAAACCTAGACAGCTAGCTTGGCCGTAGCCTTCTAAACTGTAGATTTCTGTAGTTAAGCGGAGATAAACGCTACCTCTAAAGTGTTACTGAAATCCTGAGGGATTATGCTTGTTTATGTTCTTAAGTGCTATGAAATGGTTATGATTGGGGAATGTTAAAAAGCTCTAAAATATTTTTGAAATCATTCATGTTATTTGGTTTTGGAGAATTTATATGACTTGATTTTAGATGCTAAAATGATTTAAAACTTAAATTGTTTGAAGAAATGAATCGAGTTACATTTTAATCAAGTTTCCTTGTGCTTTTGACATAACTTATTTTAAATATTTATTATTTTCTGTATCATTTTAGCATCTTGAGTCCATTTAAAATAAGAAAGAAAAAAAAGAATATGCTGGAGGTATTGTGTAGGCTTGTGGTAGTAAAACCGAGTTTTTCCCTCAGTATGTCAACATTACATATCTTTGTGTATTATGAGTATAGGTTGTTTAAAAATGACACTGCGGAGTAGCCTTTGTTTAATATACATTTTTACAATAAAAGCTGCTTAATTGGAACTCAAGGCATACTTTAGTTCATCTTGATTATGCAGCTGTCCCATTATCATTATTTATTATATACACGAAAGACACTATTATGTTAGGCATACCAATTAAATCAAGTTTATTTTATTGTTGCTTAATGTTATGGCCTTATATATCTGCAGCTCAGCCCGGTTCCGCTACAGCACTCACATAATTTTGTGACCTATTTTGTGTTCCATTATAATGGGTCAATATCTTGACTGCTATTGTATAATGCAGAATGAGGTTACAAAGAAGTGGGTAATTTTTTCACCTTTATCTGCAGTGTGTAACTGACTGACTAGTTAAAGTAAAAATCATGGCAACAAAACAGTTTTTCCTATTATGTTTCTGCCATTAAAGACAGATTATACACTTAAATTTAGAAGGAAAACCATTTTTTGGATATTTGTTACATACTTTTATTTAGGACATTTTATTTATGTCCGAAGATTTTTAGCTGTGTAGTAGTGGTGAATCGCAATGTGTTTCTGTCCTGACAAATCCTTTCACATGTCCCATCTATTTCAAATGTGAAGAAAACTGAGCCCTTGAATGGCCTGGAAATTAAATGAGCTAGAGTCTATTTTGTGTCTTATTCTGTTATTTTTTAAAATGTTCAATCTTAGATGATGGTGATCTGAATAACAAATAAATGTCCTGTTGTAAGCAATAAGGTTTTGTCTGTGACGTTTGAAGAAGTTTCTTCCATTATTAGCCATTAATTTCACGGGCAAACTTAGAGATCGTGCCTAAGGTGTGGAGTCCTGTTGAATGTTGAATTATTTCAAACAAGTTTAGTTTTTTGTTTTATTTTGAGGCATCTTACAATTTTAAATTGCAGTAGAACTTAGCTCCCTTCCTGCCATCGCTCTGTGACTTCCCTGGTTCCAAGGTCAGCCAGAAAACTGTACGTAGTGCTCAGAAAGGTAAATTATCTAAAATTATTCACCTCCCTTACCCCCAAAACACCCCCAAAAGACTTAAAAGCTCTAGAGCTGAGGATTCTCCTGTGCAAACCGAGTAGCTCACCCCTTGATGGCTGGGTGCAGCACATGCTGCTGTTCCTCTGGGTAGAGGAACCCAGAGCTGGCTGAGAGAGACCAATGGACATGGGCCGAGGAGCTGGGGGAGTCTCATCCCAAGATCACAGAGGTTTTCCTCAGGGAGCAGTCCATTTTCCTCTGACTGCAGACTTAACTGTACCCCGTTCTAGGTTAATCCTCTTTGGGAGGCCAATTCCTCTAGTTCACATGTACTAATGGAAAGAATAACGAAGAGAACATCCCTGTACTTCTGTTAAAGACAGAAAATTATTGTTATCCCTGTCAGCCTGTTGTTGACACTAGTGCAATTCTGTCATGAGGTAGAAAAACCCAAATAGCATCCAGGAGTAATTTTTTCCTCCTGAGACTTAATTTGGTGTTGGGTGCAGCAGTGAAGGCAACTGCTCTGCATTCAGAGACTGGGCTGCTCAGTTGCGTGTAGTTAACAGTGAAAAAAGAAACAGTGAAGAGGTAAGAAGCAGAAAAGCATCTTCTGACAGTTAAGAGAGCGCTAGAGGAGGAAGGGATGCTTTTGTGCCAGCAGTGGGCTTAGGGAATTGCCTTTGTTTCTTGAAGATGTCATGTGTTTGCCCTCAACTTCCAGACTTTCACAACATGTTATCACTATGAAAGTGGGGACTGCTAACTAGCAAGGTGCATAAACAGCTATTTTGTGGGGTTGCAGGTTTTTTGGAAATAGGACATTTTATAGCTTGTTAAAATGACTTTAATGAATGGTTTAAGTTTAGATGCAAGTTTCATGGCTTTAATGGATGTTTTCAGTTTTTTTAATTACAATGAATGTTTTGAATTGTTCAGTTTTTTTAACCAATAATATGAAACCTTTGACCTTTGGAATAGAGT